GCACCCGCTCCCCATGGGTGAATGGCGCCTATGCTGCTCTGCCCTTCTAGGGCCTGTCAGACTACATAATTCACTATAGGAAGATTGTACATTCAGTTAGGAGTGTTTCCACTTTTGAAGTCCACTTCGATGAGAGGGTGGAGGACCCTGAGCAAGCCTGTATGTTTTCTTGTGTGAGAAATGATGACGTATAAACATTCTTCATAGCAAAGTGAAGACATGAGATCCAACTCTGAGCTCACCATCTTGTAAAGTGGATAATGCCAACACATTTCTGCTGAGGGTGTTCCTGGAGCAAGGGATGTGATGTGTTTCTGACTGTTTCTGCCTTGACAGGTGATTGAGGCCTCAGATGTTGTGCTAGAGGTGTTGGATGCCAGAGATCCTCTTGGTTGCAGGTGTCCCCAGGTAGAAGAGGCAATTGTCAAAGGTGGACAGAAAAGGCTAGTACTTGTGTTAAATAAATCAGGTGAGCAAAAGGGATGGCCTTTGTCTACCATGAGCACTGGTGAGGTATGAGGAAAACATCTGAACAGTCTGATTGTCAGTGAAGACTGATAAGATCCAACTCTGACCTCAAAGCCAGTGCATGTGTTGACTGGTTGCCAAAGCCAGTGCTGGGCCATGGGAAAGGGGTGTTTACTACAAATGATTCGACTGGTTTCTGCTGTTCTTTTGTGATTCAGTGCTTACCACCTTGTCTAAGATTGTGAGCTTCTCTACTCAGCTCACTGTGCAGTGTATTTTACAGAGGAAATGATGACAGTGTGCCAAATTCCCCACACCTACACAATGTCACATCTTAGTTCAAGAGTTGAATAATTGGAACCTTGATGACAAAACATTTAGATAAAAATGCATAATTATGTATCTAGGGATAAGTAACAGGAACAGGAGAACCTAGAACAGACAGCTGTGAGCAGAAAGTAGGAATGGGATCTAGAAATACTGTGGTCAGGAAATGGCTGTTAGCTGAGCGTAAATTCTAAAAGTATTAGCCATAGGGTTAGTAGGACCAGAATCTAGAGGTTGACTCAGCCCTGAAAGAATAAGCAGCACGGAGGGGAGTTGAAGAAATAAAGAAGTATTGATATTGGCCTGTTAAGATAAGGGCAGCAGGGTAGAGCACTTACCCTGCCCCCATTTTCCAGTTAAATCCTTAAATCAGAAAAAGCAAAATAGTAAATCTACATCAAATTTTGCAAATCTATCTGAATAAAGCAGCCAGATTAGACAATGTCTTTTTCCTAATTCCTATCAGATCTGGTGCCAAAGGAGAATTTGGAGAGCTGGCTAAATTATTTGGAGAAAGAGTTGCCAACAGTGGTGTTCAGAGCCTCAACAA